AGGAAAGATGGAGAAATTGTTGCAGATTGGAGAAGACTAAGGAAATATGATAACTAAATGCAATGTAGTATCTTAGGGTTATGGAACAGAAAAAAGACATTACCAGAAAAACTGGGGATATACAAAGTAGATCCATAGTTTACTAAATAGTATTGTATCGATGTTAATTTCTGAGTTTTGATAAATATATCAAGGTTATGTAAAATCTTAAAATTAGAGGAGACTGGGGAAAAGGTACATATGGGATATTCAGTACCCTTTCAAATGTTTTGTAAATTGAAAGTGATTTCAAAATACCCAGTTTAAAAATATTTTTGTTTTGAAAACAAAAAACAATAACAAGGACCTAGTACCTTTGTGAAGGTACTAAAGCTTTTCTCTAACCTGAGTAATGAATATTTATTAACTGTATACTATATGTAAAGCCCTGTTTCAAGTGCTTTATGTATTGTACTTCACATTAAAGCCCATTAACTCTGTGAAGTAAGTACTATTATAATTCTCATTTTTAGCTAAAAAAAAATAATAACTGAGATGTAGAAATGTAACTTCCTGAAAGTCACAAAGCTTACAAATTAAGATCCCAGATTCAAGCACTGCCAGTTTGACTCAAGAGCAAAACAGACTAAATAACATGCTATTTTCTAACCCTAGGACAATCCATTACTGAGTGGGATAGAATAGGCACACAGCCCAAGAAACCCACTGTTGTACACATGTACCAGTTCTCTTCTTCCTTATTAATAGGATCATCAGCAGGACACTATAGTCCATCCTCCTCTAACAAGTAATAAGACTTTTAGCTAGGCATACGCATCAGCTGTACTTCTTAGCATTCATTGCAAGGAGGTGTGATCACGTGCCTGGGTCTTCCCAGTGAAGAGTGGGATGTGGAGCCCTTCCCTGCACAATCCGCGTTCTTTCCCCTTCCACAGAGTGGCTGTAGCCGATTGACACTCCCTAATGGGTGGCAGTTGCAGGATGGAATTAAATGCCCACTGACCAGCAGCACCAAATAAGACTGTTATAAAAGTGAAAAATTTATTTTGTTATTCAGCATTATCCATTTTTTTGGCTCTCCTTGATTCTGCAGTTGATTAAACTATTAGATGAAAAAAAATGTGTCTGGGAGAGAGGAAAGGTACAGGTCATTTATAGAGAAAGACCAGCTAGGGATAAGAATAATAAACACATGAATAAAATTGAGTAAAGACTAGAGTGCTCAGGTAATGGTAAAATACACACACACATTGCTGGGGCCTAAGTTACATGTTCGGTAAGTTGAATCTGGTTGTGGAGGATCTTGTATATCATGTTAAGTACTGTTGTGTTTGAAACTGGAGATCAGCAGTTCTTGTGATATACTGAACACCATGATCAGAACAGACAGCAGTGTGTTAGCTGTGATTGACATCACAAATGAGACCCAGAAATGTAACTTTCTGAAAGTCACAAAGCTTATAAATTAAGATCCCGGATAATAGAGGCTATAGAGGTAGCTCTAACAAAGAGGCCTAAAACTATGTTAACTAATGAACAAAGTTTATTCTCTCTAAGGGAAATGTGCAGGGGCAAGAGGTGGCCTCAGCTCTAGAGGTTCTCCAAAAATCCTGGCTGGGAAAGCGGCTCTCCTTCCTGTAAGCAGGACTTCGAAGTTTGTCCATTTCTGGCTCAAGAACAGAGAAGGCATTTTCCTTTCAGCCAACTACATGGATTTAGCATGGATCGTTTCTGTGAGCATTCTCATGGGAAATTGGCTAATATTTAGTCACATAGCTACTACTTACTGCAGGTGGAGTTAAGAAACAAAGCCTCTAGCTGAAGAGGCACATGCTCAAGAATGACAGCAGATTTGGGGAGTCAGCAAAGAGTTCTTATCATATGTATTTCTTAAATGCATATTCTTGAAACCACATATTGCTTTAGGGAAAGGAAATTATCAATTTTATTTGAGCACAAATAATGAGGGTCCTTCTGCCTGAGACATGATCTCACAGGGACCCCTTACTGGACTGGCTCAGCCCCTCTCACACTGATGTTACTGGGCAGACTTCTTGGGTTTTCTCTCCTTCCACCTTCACAACAGGTGATTGATCTTCTTCAAGTCCAGTTTCCTCGCCTCTCAGAGCTTTTCCGCCAGGGGACTGAAGAAGGCGGCCTGAAACACAAAGAGCATTTCTTGTCTATAGCTTAGCGTAGCAAAATCACAGAACCCCACTTAGGCAGAAACGATGTCAAGAAACTCAGACTGCAAACATCTGCAAACATCAGCAAATATCTCAGAACATTTATATCAGGACAGAGCCTGGGTCATGGCCTGGCTCATGGGTCATAGCCTGGTAAGCATCACAGGAGCTGATTGCCAGACACCAGCTGTATGCATTAATAGAACTCCTCTGTCTGCTTAATCAGCAAGGACATGTGGGCGGAGAATGGGGGATTTCACTTCAGAAAATACAAATAGGATGAATCAACAAGGAATGGAAGTTAGGAAAATACAGCTCCAGATCTCTCATTCCTGAATGACAGACAAGTCTTTCTCTGAGGCCCTGTACTGATTTGTCAAAATTTCCATGTGAACAATCCCAACTTTATTAGGTTTTCCCCTAGGAGGAGTGGTTACTTGGAATCCAAGAGCAAAACCAAATCATTCTCATCTTATTCACACCACCAAAAGAAAAAGAGGCATTTCTAACCTGTTAATTGGATAGATTAGAGCTTGTATCTTCTGTGGTTCCTTCTACTTCTAACTTTCTGTGTGTCTGTAAGAAAATCTGGAAGAATGCTCTCCTCACACCTGATATCTCACTCATTGAAACTAAATATTTATCAGGAAACTTTTACTCTAAATTACCAGGGGCAATGATCACCATCAAGACCAACATGTCACAAAAATGCCAGTATTTTCACATATAAAGCAATGCCTCAAACTTCAAGACATCTAGAAATTGCACCCAAAAAATCCTATAATACTCAAAGGACATAATACTCAAATTTGTGAACTATGATTACAGTAGCATAACTTGTGTGCATCACTGGCTGAGAATGGGGTGGAGGAGGTGTAACTGGCAGAACTCAGATTTACCCGGCCTCTGTGAGGATACAGAGAAATGGCAGAAATGCCTTGAAAAGGGAAAGTTACAGATGAGAGAGACAGGAGCCCATTCCGATTCCGAGTCTCAGAGAGGAGAGCTGTATCCACTTCACCTGTCCTTGGTCATTACAAGAGGCCCTGGACAGCAAGCCCGTGTCTCTTTACCCCCACGGGGGAGATACTCTTCTCACTCACTGCTGGAAGGGAAAGCTGCAGACAAAGCCACACTTTGACCCCTTCAGAACCATCATCACTCCTGGTGTTGTTCTGGCTGTGGGCTGGAAGGGCAAGCAGGGTCAAGAACAGCAGCAGGGTGAGGAAATGGAGCCGGAACTGAGGAAGTGAAGACATTGGTACAAATGACTGGGAGTTACAGTGACGTCATGTGAACTTTGAGGTAATTCACTTGACTTATCCAACTACAATATTGAAGTTGGAGAGATAGATATTCTCATTATAAACTGAGATATTATAAACTGTATGTTCTCACTGATGCAGTGAGAACAGTGTTGGGCTAGACATTCTGGTTGTCTACAACTGAAACTGCTGTACACTTTGATTATTTAAGGGATATGACAAATGTCATTTTTCCCTTGAGTTAATAAATGTTCCCAAATCCAAATATTTATTCAGTCAAAAACTTCTACCCGTTTTACCTACCTCGAAGCAACATAACCAGACATTTCAATTTTGTGTGAGGAAAACCCGGTCAAGTGCATCTTTAGGAAACATAACATTCATGATGAGGGAAAGATAGCAGGGACACTGGGACCTGAGAATCCAGGGTGTCCCCCTCTGTGATGTCATGAGGTTCTAGAACAGCACAGAGATGGGCAGAGCTCACTTTACCTGGAGGAGCAAGTCTCCTTACACATACAGTCTATAGAAATTATAGTCAACAGATAGAACATTCTCAAAAAGAAAAATGGACTTCCAATTTTTCTCTCGTGGTTTTATCTCTACAAATGATGGAGTCCTATTATCCTTATTCCTATTTCAAAATCAAATGTATAACTGCTGCCTGAAAAAATTTGTGGCACCTTTCCTTTCCCTATCCAGCATATAATATGGAAATTTTAATCACTGCATCAGTAGAAAGGGGCCATTTGTAGAAAGAGAAACATCACAGAAATAGACAAAAAGAAGGAGCTTTTCCATCCTCAAAAGTTAACGAAGGCTCAGAACCAAAACTGGGCTTGGTAAATATTCTCCCCAGAGAGAATGCCTGGAGATTTTAGGCTAAGCTTAGAGGAAGGGAGTTCATGTGTAGAATATGAAGAACTGTCTCACTGAAACCAAATTTGTGTATGATGTTACAAGCTACCTAGCACCACAGACTGTAGAACTGACCAGAGTTGCCAGTTTGTGGGCAGAAAACAACCCAGAAGTGAAGAGCAAAGAATACTCAACTGGATTTCCCAGAGGGTCCATTTTTATCTCATTGTGATCTTTATACTAATACACAGTATTATGCAGAGAATATCTGCATCCCAGCAAGACTAAGACAAAGCACCTTGGGTCAGAGACAACACCTGGAAGCTCCCTGTATCTCCCCAGATTCCACAGGGTTCCCCATATCTTCATACCTGAGCATTAACCCCAGCTAAGTCAGAGCCCCAAATACTTCCCCATGCTCCATAGGTATACCAGGAGTGAGCCTCCTAGCCTAGACCTGATATCCATGTCCCCCAGGTCTTTCTGTCATACATGAGAGTATGATTTTTAAGAACTCTTAGCCCAAGGCCATTAAAAGGCCTTAAAACCCAGAAAGAGGATTGTTTTCCCAGATCATGTAGCCAAGAACATATTTTCAAGTACTTTACATTTTAATGAATCCCTTCCCCCCAGCCCCTTCTTCCACATATACACATATACATTCTCTGGGCTCTGTATCAGGACTTACATTTCTTTATGTGTTCATCAACCTCACTGAAGAAGGGAAAAAATGAGAAAAAAACACTGAAAAGGATGGTCATTGCAAGTAGGATGCATAGCCAGGAGGCCACATTTAGGTGTAAGCTGATTACTGATCTAAACTCACACATGAAGATGCGAATAAGGATATGGTAATTCTCTGCCCCAGCTCTGTCACTTCCTAAGTGACGAGGGTGATGAAGTCACCGCTTCAGAAACAATGGCAGTGATGAATGCCTCAGTAGGGATTGGCCAAGCTTTATCCTGCATATGCCATAAAGGAAGCATTGAGTAAAATCAGGTAGCTTCGCTTATGCAGAAGACTCAATGGCCCCTAAACACTTGAACATCTAAACCTGACTAGAAAAAGGGACAACGCACACAAAAACATTCACGGTGAGTGTGTTCCTGCACTGAAATCACATCCCTGTACAAAAGGAATCACCTGCTTCCCCTGACTCCTCAGCCCAGGAGCCAGGTTTATCTAGACAAAAAGATAGTCAAGTTGGAAGAGGAGGAAAGGTGAAGTGTTCCTAAAGAGAAATTCCAGATCCTTCCCTAGCAGCTCTGGCATTCCTGTCTTGGCATGCTTGTTCGTGTCAGGAACGTGTGTCCCATTCACTGCCGTAATGTCTTCCCAGTCACATGTGTTAGGCGAGGGAACAGTTCATTTTCTGACATGAGGGTACTGTTGTCTTCCGAACTAAACAGAACATTGGGCAGTAGATTGCTCCAAATATCACGCTCTCTTGGTCCATGGCAGCAATTCCAGAAGCAGAGTGAGGAGAGGAATCAGGCCATAACCTCACCTTGTGCAAAAACACAGTCTTGCTCACTAATGAAACAAACTTCCCTTGAAGAAATAACTCTGCGTCCCTAACCTACAACACAGACGACTAATGTTTCTCAAGGAATTTAGATCAATCCATTCCCCCCCCCCTTCAAAAGAGCACCTTACAGTAGAAGTTGTCTCATGCCTCGGATCACTTTCCCCAGAGATTCCCAGCCACCGCCACAGGGATGACTGTGTCCCAGCAGCACTCCCTGTGCACAAAATGATTCCCATTGGATTCGTGGCCTTGGGCAAGCAGCGGAGACCCCCTGAAAAGAGGCTAATGTACCTCCACAATCTTTGCCCTCCAGGGTCCTTCACGCCTAATCTCTGTCATGAGAATGTGTTTTCTCTCAAGGTCCACAAGCTCTCTATTTGTCACCCAAAAGAAAAAAGAGAAATCACTGCCAAAGTGACACTGCCTAAGAATCTAAAATATACCCAATTCTCCCTCTGGGAGTGTATAGTCCAACTGAGGAAATAAAATCCCATGTAGAAAAGTCAAAGGTCATCATGGGCTGGAATATTTGGGGAATTACTTGTGGAATGTTAGAGAGGAAAAATAACAACAAAACAAAGAGAGCTATAAGGAAATGTTCTTCTGAGAGTCAAAGAGACTTTCTCGTTCCAGGGGATGAAAACAAGGAAACAAAATATTTATGTGCCTTATTGGATTCATTTTGGGGACACTCTTAGAGAAATTGAAAATTTCACTGCCTCAATTTTTAATTTATTGAGACAAAAATTCATATTTAGGAACCGAAACAAAAGAGCAATTGTTGATACTATTTTACCTATCATTACTAATAATCACTGAAAGAAGAATATCTACTGTGTTTTGCTTTTTTGTCATTTGTTTAAATACCTGCCACATGAAAGCTTTGGTTATTTATGGCAGGTTTTTCAGGCATAAAGATACTCAATAATTCTTTCTGCTCCAAGGAAATTTTTTCCTCCTTATGCAGAATTCTGCTCAACATTTTTACTCTTTATACTATAGTCTGTTTATGTCCCCTTGTATAGATAAACATAAGAAAAAAACATCTTTTTAAAATTATGAATGAGGTAGAAACTTGAAAACTATAAAAATTTGACTTTGCACTAACAACGTTTTAAAACTTTGATTAATTTAATTGTGCGATATATTAATATAAATAAAGGAGAAAAAGGTGAGGCTGTTGACATTTATGCAGTATATTAAGATCATATGGAAACACAATAATGGTTCAATGGAACCATTTTAACATTTTATATTTATTTATATTTATGTTTTATCAAAAGAATGTCAATTAAGGAGTTTCTGGACATTTTATTCCATGTCATCCTTAGAATAAAAGATAATTCCTTTTGATTTTAGAAATTAACCGAGATAAACTGGTTATACAAATATAAGGGAAGTAACCACACATTGTCAATAAACGAAACTATAAGGCTATCTTGAATCTCAATTTATGTCTCAGAGATTGGACTACAAAGAATATTTTTAATAAATACATCAGGTACATCATTAGACAGAACGCATCTTTGAAGAGTAATGGTTTCCTGGGAAAAAAATTAAAACTAAAATGTTGGTGCCCCATACATGAAGATATACAAATAAACAGCCAAGATTTAGGAGAAATAAATTGGAAGCTATTGTGATTGTAGAGTGCTTTTAGAAAGATAAAAGAGAGGATGGTTTCTGCACTTGGAATTAAGTTCTACAAGGACAGGATCCTGGCACAGTGTGTGGCCAATGTTAAGCCCTCCTGCAACCTAGGAGTCACAGTGATAAGCAGAAGTACATGCAGCCACAGGAGGCCCACAGTGCGATCAGTGGTTTTCTGCTGAAAGTTAGCAGGGAGTTTGCACTGCATACGCAACCTCTTATCAGTTCTCACCATTCTTGCTTCCTTTTATGCTCTCCCTGAACGTCTGGGTCTGGGGAGCTGAGAACTACATTTCCCGCAATCCCTCACAGGAAAAATCTGGGCTAGGGTCCACCAGTGAGACCTATTCTTGGGAGTCTGTTTTGCAGAGGCCTTTGCATTTGTCCTAAAAATTGCTAGCCTTGGGGCTGCAACATGGTGACCTTTAGCAATGGTTTCCTGAGGGTTTGAAATTTCCTGATGAGGGTTTTTTAAGCACAAGTATTTCCTGTAGTAAACCACTTCCTGTTTCAAATACCTAGAGGGCTTTTTGTTTGATGTCTGTTTGGGGGGCTAGTCTCCTTGAATTCAGTTTCCCCTGGAAAGAATTACATTTTGTGGAGTGGTACAACAGGGCCTAAGAATTGCATTCTCTCATTCCAAAGTATTGAGACATGAAGAATGAAACAATATTGGCATGAAATTTTGGGGGTAGTGTTTGTGGAAAAAGTCAAACTGTGTTTTCCTCTGCTCTCACACCAAACAATCAATACAGAAGATGTCTGTGATTCAAAAATATGTGGGGATTTCTCCCCACCAGCAAGCAATCAATTCTGCAGCAGACACCAGCTAGGTGTCCTACAACTCAATTTTGACACTGTCTACCTGGAGATAGCATCAGATACCTTAGGTTAAGGGCTTAGTCTCCAAGACTGCCCACCCACCTTCAGACATCAGTTCCAAGTCCAGGCCTCTGGAATTTCTGACCAACCAGCTTCAAGTTGGGGCTCCCATGAACCCCAGTTTGGGTTCAACTAATTTGCTGGAGAGGCTCACAGAACTCAGGGAAAAACCTACATTTACCAGTTTATTATAAAGAATAGTACAAAGGCTGCAGACGAAGAGATACACAGGACAAGGTATGCAGGAAGGAGTGTGGAGTTTCCATGCCCTCCCAGGATACACCAGCCTCCAGGAACCTCCACATGTTGGTCTGTCTGGAAGCTCTAAGAATCCAGTCCTTTTAGGTTTTCATGAAGGCTTTGTTACATAGGCATGATTGACAGCCATGCAGAAATGTGACTGGACAATAAGGGTATGATCTGCTAAAATAGACTGAGTGGGGAAACCCAGCAGGGCCTGTCTTTGGATTTTTCTTGGCCTCTCTGTGCAGCATTTGTTTCCCCAGGGTACGGGGCAGGACCTTCTCTGGAATGAGAGTCATATGACCCACAATCAGATTAGAGTCCTGCCTTGGACAGGTGAAGGGAGGGGATGGGAAGGCCAGAGAGAGAAATACTATGTTTCCTGAGGCCCAAAGCACCCCAACATTACAACAAGGGCTATGGGAGTCATGAGCCAGAAACCATGGACAAAAATCAGTGTGTGTGTGTGTATGTGTGTGTGTGTACATGTGCATACATGTGCACAGGTGCACATATCTTAATATCACCAACAGGTAGACAGAAAAAAAAAAGAAAGTAAAAACATTATACTCAGTATGAAATAATCAAAGACTTAGGAAACAGAAAACAATAGGAAAGACATACACAAGTCCAATGATAAAACAGGAAAAATTATTTTTTAGATGTTTAGAGAATCAAGATAATAAAAAGAATCAATAAAAATTAATAAATTTTGGATTAGGGGGTTGGAGGGTAGACTCACAACTGAAAGATGCAGTAAGCATTGTAGAGGGGAAGGGCATACCTCTAACCCTAGCTGGGGAGACGCAAAGATATAAAATGTAACCAAAATGTTTGTACTCTCTTAATTTCCTCAAATAAAAAAAATTAATAAATAACATACAAAAATAGAGCAATAAAGAATAAAATGGAAAATTTTAAAAAGAGGAAAAGTGGCCCAGGGAACTCTATGCAGAAACTGCAGGGGCATCTATGAAGAAAAAGATGCTGTACAAGCACATCAAGTGACACACACCCCAAAGAAACAGATGTAGACACAGGAGACTGACATCCCACAGCCATTGTGACTATTATCTTAGTAGAGATACATATGCTTTTAGAAACATTAGAGTGAATTGGTATTTCAGCAGTTTTTTATCACAAATCATTATAATTATTAGACAATGAAGGGACTTTGCAGACTATTTTAACTTCCAAGTCCATATTGAAATCCTTCCCATAACTATTCTGCACTTGACCTTAGCCAAAAGGCCGAGACATGATGTTCACATAACTATTCTGGCAGGTAGCACCAGACTTTCAGCATTTCTACTGACAGAAGTTCCTTTCATCTCAAAACAACATGTTCCATGTCTCCAGCCCAGATATCTCTCCCTCCTTCCTTTCTCTCTCTCTCCCTATCTCTAATAGACCTAACCTTAATGTACCTCTACTATATCTAACTAAAGGTTTCCACGTGGACCCGTAATGACCAAGATATTGCATGTAGTCAAGAGAGGTGAACAGAGAGAGAGAACAGGTAAACAAGTATATGTGATAGATAAAGAAGAGGAAGAATTATGGGCTCGAACTTACATGAAAAGAAAACTTGACATGGAAGTGAAGAGAGAAAATTAGTTTCACTTGACTAGTAAAAGAAATATTATTTGGGGCTGGGACCACTTGAGGTCAGGAGTTCGAGAGCAGCCTGAACAAGACCGAAACCCTATCTCTACTAAAAATAGAAAAAATTAGCCAGGCATGGTGCAAGCCTGTAGTTCCAGCTACTTGGGAGCCTGAGGCAAGGGGATCATTTGTGGCCAGGAGTTGGAAATTGCAGTGAGCTATGATGATGCCACTGCACTGTAGCCAGGGCAACAGAATGAGACTCTGTCTAAAAAAAGAAAGAAAGAGGAAAAAAATAATATTTTGGAGGCCACAAAGTTTTGGGGAGAAAAAGAAATTTGTGGTGTTTCCTTCCCCAGGCATCTCCGTGAAATCATATTTCACTCAAAGATTGGAGAGGAGCATGGCTCATATATGAGGAAACAATGCAACTTGGACGGAACATTTTAGAACATTCAGGTGATACTTCTGTGTGACTACCTTGGGTGGTCCTGGATTCAGAGTTTGTTTAGTCATATAGTGGCCATGAGCTTCTCTTCTCCTATAAGAATGACTCTACATGTTGCTTTAGGAGCAGAAGACAGCATGAGTCAGTCACTTAGGATTTCGCCTGGAAGTAGAAAATCTGTTTGAGATTTGGACTAAGAGCAATTGAGTTAGAGAAGCTAGAAGTTCAACAAAAATTTTCTGGTAACACAGAACTTTGCTGAGAGTCTCAAAATATTTATGGCCTTTTTTTTCTGTATAAACATAGATAACAAAGGTCTCAGAATTTTTCTCCTCTCTGGAATATGATGTCACAGGTTATTCCTTACAAACCCAGCTGCTCTCAAACTGAAGTCCCAGGGGTACCAATCTCAGACTCTGAATCCCTGGGCTCTCCTGCCACTTTCACAAGTAATGAGGAATGTTTTCCTATCCCATACTCCTTCCCTCCCAGAACTTCTCTCCTTGGTGACTCCAGAGGACGGCCTGAAACAACAAGAGAATTGCTTGGTTATACCTATGACCCAGCAGAATGGCAACACCATTTTAAGACAGCAGAAACAAATGCAACAGAAGTAGATTGTAAAAATTTCCAAACATCATCAAACACTTAGAGCAGAGGCCTCCAAACTTTCTGGCACCAGAGATCAGTTTCATGGAAGACAATTTTTCCACAGACCTGTGGGGTGGGTGTTAGAGGAATAGTTTAGGGATGATTCAAGCACGTTGCATTGATTTTGCAGTCAGACCTCTCTGCTAATGATAATCTGTATTTGCAGCCGCTCCCCAGCGCTGGCATCACCGCCTCAGCTCCGCCTCAGATCATCAGGCGTTAGATTCTCACAAGGAGCCACAGCAACCTAGATCCCACGCATGTGCAGTTTACAGTAGGGTTCAAGCTCCTATGAGAACCTAGTGCCGCTGCTGATCTGACAGGAGCTTATGTGGTGATCCAAGTGACGGGGAGCAGCTGTAAAAACAGATGAAGCTTCCATCACTCACCCACCTCTCACCTCCTGCTATGTGGCCTGGTTCCTAACAGGCCAGGAACTGGTACTGGTCTACGACCCAGAGACTGGGAACCACAGACTTAAAGCAATCATGTTAGGACAGGACTGTAGAACTGTTGACCCACAGTCTGGAAAATACTTGTCACAAGAGATTATTATATCTCAATCAGCTGAATACACAGGAATGGAAGGGAGGAAACCACATCTCCAGAATATTTATTCCTCAAAGAATCAAATCCTTTCTTTGCAACTTTGTCCTGATTCCCAAAATATCTATGCAGATAATCCCAACTTTTATATATTTTCCCTAAATGAATGTTATTACCTGAGCTCTAAAAGTCAATCTGCATCAAATAACACACAACTTTCATCTTATACAGCAAAGAAAAAACAAGTTTTCTCATGTGCTAATTAAAATATTTTAGTTGGTATTTTCCATATCAGCTTAATGCTTCTGGCTGTAAGCTTCTATGAGAACATTAAAAAATCAGGAAAATCTCATTAAACCCAAGAAACCATATATCTATAAAAATATTAATCTATTATATTAGGGATAATGGTCATCATAAGGTAAGAAAATATCACAAAAATGCCAGTATTTTAGCATATAAAGCAATTCCTCAAGCTTCAAGACACCGAGAAATAGCAACCCCCCCCCAAAATCCTATAATACTCCAAGGAAATAACACTTGAATTTGTGAACTATGATTACAGTAGCATAACTTGTGTGCATCACTGGCTGGGAATGGGGTGGAGGAGGCGTAACCGGCGGCGGAACTCAGGATTTACCCGGCCTCTGTGAGGATACGGAGAAACGGCAGAAATGCCTTGAAAAGGGGAAAGTTACAGATGAGAGAGACAGGAGCCCACTCAGATTCCGAGCCTCAGAGAGGAGAGCTGTATCCACTTCACCTGTCCTTGGTCATTACAAGAGGCCCTGGACAGCAAGCCCGTGTCTCTACCCCCACGGGGGAGATACTCTTCTCACTCACTGCTGGAAGGGAAAGCTGCAGACAAAGCCACACTTTGACCCCTTCAGAACCATCATCACTGGTGTTGTTCTGGCTGTGGGCTGGAAGGGCAAGCAGGGTCAAGAACAGCAGCAGGGTGAGGAAATGGAGCCGGAACTGAGGAAGTGAAGACATTGGTACAAATGACTGGGAGTTACAGTGACTTCATGTGAACTTTGAGGTAATTCACGTGACTTACCCAACTACAATATTGAACCAGATATTCTCATTATAAACTGTATGTTCTCACTGATGCAATGGCAGTGTTGGGCTAGACGTTCTGGTTGTCTACAGTTAAGACCGTCACATACTTTAGTTATGGTGGAGACGAGACAAATCCAGACATGTGGTACCATTCTGCCCTTGAGTTAACAAACAAAAAAGTTCCCACATCCAAATACGTATTCAGATAGAAGTTTATTTTCAACCTATTTTTCTTGCCTCAAAGCAACACAATAGCAAACTTTTACAGATTAGACATTTCAATTTCATGTGAGGGAAACCTGGTCAGAACATCATCTGTAGGACATACTGATAAAAAGAGAGTGATGTGGTGGGCACAGAGAACACTGGAATTTACTGTTTTCCTGCTCTTTGATGTCACAAGGATCCATAAAACAGTGAGAAGGAAGGCACAGCTGGCCTTAACTGGAGAACCAAGTCCAAAATACACACAATCTGCAGGAATTAGTCAATAAATGTTCAGAATGTCACCCCAAAATAATAGACTTTCAGTCTCCTCAGGCTGTTTGTATGACGATCTCATATCTACAAAGTCCTTCTGACCTTTTCCCTATTACTAAAGCAAATTTACAGCCACTTCTTGGAGAAGAGTTACCTTTTCATTGTCCACCATGAAAAAATGGTCACTTAATCACAGAGGGAACCATGATAGAAAGAGAAACATCACAAATGTAGATAACAAAAGAGAAACTTTTCCAACAAATAAAGGTTAATGAGAGCACAGAATCATTTTCTTCTGCTTAAAAAATGTTCTCTGGCGAGAAGGCTCAGAGCTCTTGAGCCAAACTTAGAAAAAGAGGTTATGTACAGAACATGAAGAGGCCGTTTCCCTGAGTCCAGAAACGAGCATGGGATTAGCCATCTAGCACATGGACTATGGAGTTTATAATAATTGTCTTCTATGACCTAACAACCCAAAAGTGAAGGGCAAAGAACACTCACCTGGCCTTCCCAGATGGTCCATCTTCGTCTCATTGTTTTCTTTGTCTTTACGCACAGCATTATGCAGAGAACACCTGCATCTGAGCAAGACTAACACAAAACACACGTGCTCAGAGACTGCCGTCTGGAAACTCCCTCATATTTCCCCAGATCCCACAAGGTTTCCCATGTCTGTATACTGGGGTGTTGCCATCATCTCAACTAGGGCCTAAGATATTTCCTCATGCTCCATAAAGATACTGGGAATGAACTCTTTAAACAAGTTTCAATATTTCCATCTTATATATAAGATTATGATTTCTAAATATTTTCAGCCCTGAGTCATTGGGCCTTAGAGACGAGAGAAGAATAGGCATTGTTTCCTTGTTTCCCACATTGTAATAGTTACCTTCCTCTTCCTCAAATCACACATTATCTCACTACAGATCCCCTATACCCAAAGGCCCATCATGTCACTTACGTCTTTTTATGTGCTGGTCTATCTCAAGTAAAAAGGGAGAGAACATGACAAAGAGAAAAAATACAAAAAGCATAGCAAATAGAGCATAGAGCCAACGAACACCATTTGGGAATAAACTGGTCCCTGGTTCAACCTCTGCCATTGGGACGTGGGAGAGAATATGGAATTCTCTGCCCCAACTCTGCCACCTCCTAGGTGATGAGAGTGATGAAGTCACCATTTCAGACACAATGGGAGTGATGATGATCTGGGTGGGGATTGGCTAAGCTTCATCGCATATGTGCTATATACGAATGAGAGATCTCAGGTAGCTTTCGTTCTACCGCAGATTCGTTGAACCTAAAACATTGTATTAGCAGGGTAGACCAGGAGGAGGGTAGATTGTCACACAGATATTCAGAACAAGCGTGTCGCTGCACTGCGGTCTGTTTCCCTAGACTTCTCAGTCCTAGAGCCAGTCTTATTCAGCAGAGGGACATCTAGCTTAAAGGACAAAAAAAACAATATATTTTCCTGAAGAAATATTTCAAGTTTTTCTCTAGAATTCCTGGCATTCCCTGTCTTGGTGTACTTTGTCATGTCAGTAATGTGTTGGACACACATTCCCATGGATCATAGGGATATCTCCCCGGTCACTTGTGTCAAAGGGAAGGCAACAGTTTATTTTCCAGGATGGGCATTATGTTGTCTCCCGAACTAAACAGAATATTTAGCAGTGGCTACTCAGAATATCACCAGAACATGCTACCTTGGTCTTTGGAAGCACAGTGGGGATAGAGATGAGGGGAACTCATCCTACTCCCCAGTGCAAGAACACAGCCTTGATCACTAATGGAACTCCTAAAGAAATAGCTCTACATTCCTAACCTACTACACAAACCCATCTTACATTTTTCAAAAAGTTTCGATCACCCCATTCCCCTCTTTTTAAAAGAGCAATTCCTCAGAGATCCTCAGCCCATTGTCACAGGGATGACTCTCTAGTGCTCCTTCCAATGCAGACAGTGATCCCAATTCTTGGTCAAAACCCAACCTCCCTGTGGGAGCTTCTACTCCAACTGAGGAATAAAATCCCAGGCAGAAAATTCAAAAGTCATCATGGGCTGATATAATTGGGGAATTCTTTATGGAACAACACGGAGGAAAGAATAGCAATGAAAGAAATGGAACTAAGAGGAAATGGTCTCCTGAGAGTCAAAGTGCCCTTCTGGTTTCAGGAAATGAAAACAGAGAACCAACATGCCTACATTATGTGCCTTTATTGTCTTTTGGACAGAAAAAACAATGTCAGAAGACCCTCAAAAACTTAAAATTTCTCAGCCTAAGTTTTTTAAAACAATTATTGAAATAAGAATTAATGTTCAGAAGTTGAAACAAAAAATCATTAGTACTGTTTTACTGATCATTATTAATAACCACATATAATAATACCTACTGCCCGTGTTGTTTTGTTGTGTGTGTTGATATTCTCATACATAAAAGCTGTTATTTTAAGCTAAAACAAAACTCATTGACTCTAGCTTGTCTTTCTACCCTCAAAAAGCTCTATCATTCTTATGTAGAGTTTGATTCATTATTTTCATCCTTTTGTATTTAATAATCCAAAATATAAACACAAATAATTAAAGGAGAACTGATGGGGACAAAGATATTTAAATGGTATAGGGAAATGGTATAGAATTAAAAGGTGGTTTATTAGAATCTCTTTTAAAATTTTATTTTCTTTGGAATATTTTTATCAAGAAAATGGCAATTGAGAGTTTCTTACAGTTTTATTCAATGGCATAGGTTAGCATAAAGGATAACTCCATTTAAATATTTAGGAAATTCGCCAAGATCAGTTATCCAGTTATAAAAGCATAAAAGAATAACCAGACATTTTAATTCTTAGGCATTTTTAAATCTGAATTTATGCACCATAAGATTGGGTTATAACATATATTCTTTAATAAATTCATCCAGTCTATCATTAACCAAAGACTATATTTTTTTAAATTTCATTTTGAAATAATTACAGATTCACATAGTTGTAAAGATAGCATAGTTTGGTCATTTCCAAATTTTGACTATTACAGATAAAGTAGCTATGCAAAAATATGTTCAAGGTTTTGTATAGACATAAATTTTTCTTTCTCTGGTATAAATGCCTAAGAGTAGCTGGATCTTATGGTATATATACATTTAATTTTTTAAGATCATGAGAAAATCTCAACAATTTCAAATATTTGGAATCACTCATTTATATTATCTGACCAAAGTGGGAAAACCACAGTGAAAATTAGAAAATATTTTTAACTGAACAACAATGAAAATGCAATAATATGAAATTTGTGAACCTGGATAGAGTTGGAGCCCATTCTACTAAGTAAAGTATCACATGAATGGAAAGACAAGCACCACTTATACTCACCTTCAAATTGGTATTAACTGATCAACACTTATGTGCACATATAGTAGTAACATTAATCATGTGTCAGGCAGGAGGGAGAGGAGGAGAGGATAGGTATATTCACAACTAATAGGAGCAGTGTGCATAGTCTGGGGATGGACACACTTGAAGCTCTGATTCAAGTGGGGCAAAGACAATATGAGTAACCTAAACATTTGTACCCCCGTAATATGCCAAAACAAAAAATATAAATAAATAAATAGCACTTCAATTCCATTATATTTATTTTTGAATTCAAGTTCACTGTTTCTTCTTATGTTAAAAGCAGCAGTATATATATTATATATATATATTCTACAGTTGCAAACTAATTTAACTTATAATGTATTTCTTCCTCACTTTGAAATGCTATTTTTGTTGTACATACAACTCTAAGTTCAAAGTTCTCATTTCTTAAACTCTTTTAAAATATTATTTTATTGTCTTCTTATAAATAATATTGCTACTGAGAAGTTTAGAGTCTATCTGATTTCTGTTTCTTGGCAGATAACGTACTCTTTTTTCTGGAAATTTTGCTTTGGTCCTTTTTAGATTTCTCCATAACTTGTCTTGGTGTGATTGTTTGTTTATTTTACCTGAGTGGAAATCTACAAGTCCTTTCCAAATGAGACCTTATTTGTTTACTTCTGTGAAATTTCTATCTATGAGTTCTTCAACTCTTTCCTCCTCTCCAGTCTTGTTTACTTCCTTCTGGGCCCTGTTAAATAGATGCTGGTGTTTTTCTCGTGTCTCTAGGTCCCTTAGCATTTCAGTTACTTTTTCTGTCTTCTTGGAAAATTCCTTGAATTGCTATTTCATCTCACCAGTTTGTTCTTCAACTATATCCATCCTACTATTTATTTTTTAATTTTTTTTTTAACTTCTCAGCTTAGTAGTGCTTTTGTACTTCCCCGGTATTTGTCATGGACACAGCGAGTGGCTTAGATTGCTGCCACAGATTTCTGTGGCTATAGAACAAGTGATAAGATGAACTGGAGTAAAAGCAAGGCCAGAACTTTCCTCCAGCCTACACTTTCCTTCTCTCCCCTTGCAGCCCTTCCCAGTTGACATCACTCACCAACCTTTCCTCATTCACTTGTCTCCACTCACCGGTTCAGTCTGGCTTCATTCTCCCCAAGGAAGAGACTCACTCTGATGTGCTTAATTCTCTGGATACTTATCACTATTATTTCTCCAGGGCTGATTTTGGGAGCTGGATGCCTCTGCTAGCTCGCCATTTTGGCAGGAATAAAAAACCATGGCATATACAAGAAATTATGATATTAAGTAACACTTTGAGAACATAAGACAAGTAGTTGTCATTTTTGAGCCAAACTACATAAAATGGTATCCATTAATACATTGAATTCAAATTGTTAAAATTAAATGCCCCTCTATCTCAATGATGAATCAGTGGTAAGCCTGCTAGTTTAGGAAGTTCGATAGATACTGCAGATCTTTCAGAGCAATCTAAGATTTAAGCATATCACAACTTTCTGCCAAGTAGAGGCCAGCAAGGCCCCTTGCATTACTGTTAATCAGATATTGCTAAAGGTGCAGGATGTTTTTCTGTTCATCATTAAGCCCATTTGCATTTATAATCATAGTGGTATGTAACAGGAAGGAACATTTCGCCATATCAAAAGAAATAACAGCAGTTGCTTTTGCATTCAGGAAAAGGAGGTGGGTTGTGGGTAATAGTAGTAAAAGTTAACGCTCTCTGTGTACTTTATTACAGGAGGTCAGTCGGTGCCCAATTATTACAACTGGATTTATATTCCTTACAGTGAATCTGCCATGTGGGCAAGATTCCTATTAGTACTTACAAACCAGACTGATCTTTTTATATGCTAAAACTGTCATGCTCCTACACAGAAATTTAGACAGGCCCTGTTGGACCAACGCACAAGGCTGGCCTAGATTCCAAATAGGCAGAATACACAAATCCTGTTCAGTGGGGTCCACCTGCGTGCAAGATACTTTATATGTGAGAATCAGGGAACCAAAGGCTGGCCAGGCAGTGCCTACTAAACAGATAAACCTTTTCTCTGATTTCCTGCCCATAAATGAAGCACACAGTCTGAAGGGGGCGACATCCTTCTACCTTGCCCCTGTGGGCTGAAGGACTCTCTACTGGCTTACTCTCCTGCGGCCTCTTTATCCTGAGGCAGGAGAGTCAAGAGGACTTATGGGAGGCATTTCAAAACTTGTAAGAGAAAGAAATTAGGAAAGGCCCATTGAGAGAGGGGACACTGTGTACTAAGTAATGGTGACAGGGTGAAAATGAAAAGAGACACAAAAAGAAATTCCCGTGGGTGGAGAGGAAGGGGGAGAACAGCAGTGGGACGTTAAGATTAGGTGATTGTTTTTACCATTTGCAACACACTACATTTCTCCTCACCCCCTTTAACAACAAAACCTCAGGGAATGTTGACTATATAAAATAAGCTTTTGGTAGTAATATTTTGGAGGAGGAAGAAGCAGCAAAATGTGTACACCACAGGTGAAATGGGGTGGAGAGAAGATAGAGGCAAGGGGGAAAAGAGGCACAAGACAGAGATTGAGAACGCAACAAAAACACCCTTTCAGGAAGAAGCAGTCAGATGCATAATAGCTTAACTGCCATTAGAAATACAAGGGAGAGCATATTGAGTTAATGACGCAAACCAGTTTGTTTCTTATTATTGAAAGGACTTGAGAACTGGGACATGTTGTATGTAGATGGTGTGTTTGTGCTCAGCAGACGTATGAACTCTGATGGTTTTCCCAAGAAGCCCAGAAGATTGGCAAGCCTGATTCTACTTTGCACAATATGTGAACCTATTGCCCCTTCTACAGCAGGTCAGAAATAAGAACCTCACTCACTTCTCCTTCCACTGATCGTCAGACACACATTAGGATGGAATTTGGAGACAAAAGTAGGCACTTTTGTGTCTATAGGTTTTATCATGTTGACTTTCTTGTACTCCCAGCTTGAACTTAGAGGGTTACTTCATTTCTTCAAAATAAATCAAAGACAGTAGACTAGAGAGTAATTTTATAGAGAAAATATAACTATTTATAGTATAACTATTTTTCAAGATGTCATGCACCAGTATTTTGTAGGAAATGAGTTGAAAGGAATATCCACATTCATCATGGTTATAACATTCTGAGGGAATGAGAATAGTCCATTCCCTAACAGAGTCTCACTAACCCTGACCCTAATCCAATTCCAGCACTACTCTAACAAGAGACATGTAGGTTCTGATCTTTATCCACGGCCAGAGGAAGTGAGAACAGAGAAGCAAAAATTGTTTTCCCAACTAAAACCTAAACATTTAAAATATCACTACACTTGAGAATATGAGATAGTATTCATTAATATAAGAGGTTAGGTCTTTGTTGCCCATTAGCACATGTTAAGTACTATACCCAGGAACTCAACCAGGAAAAGACAGAATTAAGCTTAGAAATAAGTTGGAATCTGAGAATCTTCACATCCAAACTTGCAAAGTTAAGATCTTGAAAACATTCTGCTCCCAACTAATTATACTTTCCTATTCCAATGTGTCTCTGCGAAGTGTTTGGATTCCTGATATTTTAGATTTATTTTTACTAAGAAAGTTCCGCCACACCTACCAAATTTCAGAATCTTTAGGGGGAGGGGCCAAAATTATGTAAGAAAGGATGACATAATTAGCGTAGAACATTTCTGGAATATTCAGGTATTTTTACTGTGAGGTCATCTTAGAGGTAGAGAAACCTCAACTCTGGAGCTGAATTCATCATCTCCCTCAGTCTGACAACGAATTATTCCCCTAGGATTTCATCCAGAAGAAGAAAATATATTGACATTAAAGCAGCTAGGGTAAGAATACTATAAAAGCAGTTTGCGTTGACATCTCTAGATGTTCACAAAGATTTCTCAATAACACAAAACTGGTCTGGAAGAACTGGAGTATTTATTATTGGACAACGTACAAAAAACTGGAATACAAGTCAGCGTTATCTTATCTGAACACACACAGTGACTGTCTGGACCAAAACGTAACAAAAGTTTTAATATATGCATATTGATTCTTCCAGTTGCATCCCAAGGTCTTCGAACTCAGCATCCTCACATACGCACTCCATCTCTTCGGCACTCAGGAACGTCTCCCTTCCTGAATCTCTCCTCACCAGATCATTCCCTGAGGAATGTGAGAAACCACAAATAGCAAATTTAAGGCCTGGTTGTGTGATAGCTATGACCCAGAGATAAAACATAGCCCTCTAGAGGCACCAGAATCACGGGCAAGGTGAAAACACAGCATACGTAGGGGCCCGGACTGGGCTCCCTCTGCACTATATAAAATATGTCAGGAAAATCCTGTTAGATGTAAACTACTGATCTCAGATCACTGTCTATGGAACAGCTGTCATAGGTATTACTAGCAAATTAAGGAACTCTGAAAAGCTTATTCTCAGTCTATACAAACATCTGGGACATGGCATGGGAGGAAGGAATTGTGTCCCTCTTTTCCCGTGGCTAAATTGCAGGAAATTGGTGGCAGTAAGGTACCTGCCCATTAGCATCTATTCCATGAGAACACTTAGGGACCAGATCCTGACTTCCCAAATGCCCACAGGGATAAACCCAGCTTTTTCTGAAAGACCTGAAATGGATATAGCTAGTTCACCTCCTACGGTTTTTCTTCTCCCCCAGGGACACACTGCTTTCACACAGGCTGTGGTAGCAGATTGGGCCTCCCAGCTCTGAAATCCTGTGTATCAGGGCCAGCTTCTTGGGCAATCCATGCAACTGTGCCATGTCCCATGCTCAGAAGGGCCCCATGCTGGGCCAAATTATTTGATTTAACCATCCTGAAAGTCTTAATAATTTTTGAACAAAGGAGCTCACATTTTCATTTTGCATTGGTCCCTGAAAATCGTGTAGTCAGTTCTGCCAAGGGTCTTAAAGAACCAAGGAGTAATTCCGTCCCCTCACCCCAAAACCTGTCCTCATGAAAAAATATACTTACCAGGGTAATTTTAATATATTAGTAACTCTAGAGTACCAAAATGTAACCTAATATCAATGTTTTGCCAGTATAACTGCATTTTTACATCCTGAATTAACCAAAAACATCTTTACATAATCTATGTGATTGTTGTAATTAGGAAAATATGGTCACAACATCCAAAAAATGGGTGCATGGCTCAAACTACAGGAGAATGCCCATCACAAACTCCACCCTCTTCCTATCTTCTCTAAAAGTACCTAGAAATAACAGAAATTACTTAGGAAGGTAATCCTGATTGAAATTAAGAATTATGGGCATGCTCAAATTTGTCTTTGCAGGAAGGATTGGCAATTAAAGGCTCAAACTCAACCTCCCAGGAAATAAGAATAGGACTACTGGAGACTGAACTTCCCTCCGTTTTATTTGTCTATGAGGAACTGTCCTCTGGGCTACATAATTTGTGAGGCCCAGGGCAAAATTAACATGCAGAGGTTCTTGTTCAAAAACTAGTGAGAATTGCAAGATGGTGACAGGAGAGTAACCATCCAAGCACAAGGGCACAGGTCACATTCCCATGAAGATGGCCTTGGGCATGTTTATCTCATCCATTTCACATATAGAGAGCTCAAGAAGAATTTCAGGCCCAGAAAACCCTCCACTTTTGTAATTATATTCTAGACTATCAGTCTTCTGCTCTCTAAGAGCAGGCAAGGGTCTCTGGTGGAAAGCAAGGAGTGAACCTGTCCCTAGGAATCAGGACAGGGACATCCTGAATCTAATGGTGACTTCTTGTGTGACCTTGAGAAAGTCCCATGTTATCTTCTTTCAGTCAATTTGTGTAGTAGTATCTGACTATACCAGGGGTGAGGAACCTGTGGCCTTAAGGCCACATGTGGCCATCTAGGTCCTTGAGTGTGGCCTTTTGACTGAATCCAAATTTTATGGAACAATCTTTTTATTTTTATTAATACATTTTTATTCATCATTTATGTTTTTATTTTACTTTTTAAATGAACGTATTTAAAATACCAAAGAATAAAATAAGTTTCAACGAAATAATCCAGCACAATGAGAACATTAGTAAGCCATAAGGGCTAAATTGATGGCTGCTCTGCTCATGATTTAATTGTAACTTCCCCTGCCTGACTGGCATCACTATAGATAGATAAATTTTATGAAGAAGAGAATCTGACCCTGGGGCTGCCCTCAGACCATCAGAGTCCTGACCTTCTTCATGCTTTGTGGATACACCCAGAATTCTTGGCCCAACCCTAATCTATGTCCTCACCCCTGGCACTGAATTTACTGCTGTCATACATGATACCATACTTCCTTAAAGCGCCCCGTAGTCATTAAGGCTTAGAGTCCAGAGAAGCACAGGTGTCATTTCCAGTGGACGTAATAAGGACAGAATGCAGATTCAGCATCCACATCACAATGGGTCCCTTCTCACCTACTGCCCACAAGCTCTCTCAAGGTGCCTGGTACTTTCTAGAGCCTACCTTGGCACTTTCTTTTCTTTTTGAAATGATAAATCACCAGGTGAATGAGGAAAAGGAAGATGCAAGGTCCCGCGATGAAACTGAGGATACCTGTCACAAAGAAGATTCCGGGGCCAGGGTCTGAGGTTAAAGGTATTTGAGTGGTATTTGAAACAGACATATCCTGCAGATGGGAAAAAACATGGGGAGAATCCTGCCCCTTTACTGTCACCTGTTGAGTGCTCAGAATGGTGAAGTCACTGCTTCAGGCACAATGGGAGATTGTGAGAGCCTAGCAGGGACTGGCCAGCCTCTGCCCTTAGGGAATCTCAGCCCCATCCTGGACAACCTTGGTTGAAAGAGAGGATGCTAATGAACACGTAGAAGCTTCACAACTGCCACCGACTCATAGGTTCAGAGGCACCGATCCAAGCCCCTTCCCAGGGACAGAGTTCACTCACATCTAAGTGGGGAGAGAGCAAGTCTGAGGACAGTGCTCGGTGAGTGATCTGTTTCCCCAACTTTTCTGTCCTAAACCAACCCAAGGAAGAGAAAAATTTTCCGAGGAGGGACTCCTGATCCTTTTCTGAAAAGCCAACCCCCTCTGGGGCACATTTAGCCCTGTCTGCATTGTGTGCCCCAGAGAGAATCTTAGATTGCCTCTCCTGTCACATGGGCAGAAGGAAGGGAACACGGTCCCTGCTGGACTGTGAGGCAGACTTTCTCTCTAGTCGGGACTGTCTGGAAAGAACCTGGGATTATCTAACCATACTAGGACACCCACTCTGAATCCTTGGCCCTGCATTCCTGGGAGGTGCCAGGTCCTCTCCTCCAAAAGTGCCTGGAGAGACCAGCAATTCATACCACAGCCGCGCCGAGTACAAGAATATTACTACTCCACAGAAGAGATTTTTGAAAGGATATGTTTACATTTCTACCGTCTCGCAGGGCTGTCATAACAAGTTATCACAAACTGAGTGGTTTTAAACAGCAGAAATTTATTCTCTCACAGTTCTGGAGGCTCTAGGTCCAAAGTCAATGTGTCAGCAGGGCCATGCTCCCCGGAGGTTCCAGGGGAGGACCCCTTCTTGCCTCTTTCTGGCTTCTGGTGATTGCCAGCGACACTTGGCCTGCCGTGGATTACGGACACATCACTCCAACCTCTGCCTCCATCGTCAAATGGTGTTCTCCTGGCGTGTTCTTGTCTCCACACGGTGTTCATCTCTCTGTGGCTGTGTCTAAATTTCTCTCTTCTGGCCAGGCGAGGTGGCTTCATGCCTGTAATCCTAGCACTCTGGAAGGCCAAGGTGGGAGGATTGTTTGAGTGCAGGAGTTCGAGACCAGCCTGAGTAAGAACGAAACCCCCTCTCTACCAAAAATAGAAAAAATTAGCCGGGCATGGTGGCGCATGCCTGTAGTCCCAGCTACTCGGGAGGCTGAGGCAGGAGGATGGCTTGAGCCCAGGAGTTTGAGGTTGCTGTGAGCTTTGCTGTGAGCTAGGCTGATGCCAGGGCACTCTAGCCCAGGGCAACAGAGGGAGATTCTGTCTCAAAAATAAATAAATAAATAATAAATAATTTCTCTCTTTCTTATAAGAACACTAGTCATTGGATTAGGGCCCACCTTAATCCACTATGACATCATATTAACTTGATTACATCTACTAAATTGCTATTTCCAAATAAGATCACATTCTGAAGAGAATGGGCATGGATTTGGGGGAGATGCTATTCAACCCAATACATACCTCATCCCCAAAGGTGTCAAAACTAATTCTCCTTTACAGTTTGAACCATAGCCCAGGCCTCTCCACTCCCAGAGCACCTCCCTCCAGTGTCCTCTTCACCCTGTCATCTGTCCCACAGTAACTGCAGTCACAGGCCAGTGGGGAGGGCTCCCTGGCCCTGTACTGCACCTCGACGGCCAGGTGCTACATCCCCTGCCTCCTCAGGTGGCAGAGTGAAGACACGCGCACAGTGATAGGAAGTACAAAAATGATAAACCACACTTTCAAGGGTCCACTAATTTATATGACCACGTCGTGGAAACCATCACGAGTTGTATGATCAAAGCAAACTGTTCACTCTTTTGTCTGGATTCCCAATAGAACTGGTACCAGGAGCCTGTGATCTGCAGTGACCCACACCTCAGGGTACCAGCACCACTCTTTAGGGCTTACAGAAAAGCAGAGTAGTAAACCCCAAGCCAAACCCCCAGTGCTGTTTATGTGGTACAAAGTGTGGGGCAAGCGTCAGCATTTACAATAGTCACTATTACAGTGGCTGGATATTTTTCACTGTAACAGAAACAACAGAAACAAGTCAAGTCCCAGAAAATCAGTTCTAAGACAGAGATTTGAGGGAAGGAAGTTTATTGAGAATAAATACTCCTTTAGGGACCGAAGGAGGCAGACTGGAAGAGGATAAGTTCAACTATAATGCAGTCACGAGAAAGGCTGGTCAATCCCACAGGGAGCTCTAGAGCTGGCATGGCCCTTCATAGTTGTCCCAAACGGAGACAAAGGGCTAGATCTTCATACCCATGCACTGAGAGCCATTGGATAAGGACTGTCCCCAGGGCGTGGACAGCCACCAACACCCACAGCAGCTGGGGACGGAGCAAGTGCTTTCATCAAGGCAGAGGGACACACCGCAGCTTCAGCCACAGTCACCTTTTGTGCCTGATTCACTTTGCTTTATACACGTAAGCATACGTCATACATTCAGTTCTGTGAGCTTATTCTTTTCCTTTTTTAATTTTTTTTTATTGCAGAATATTACAGGCTACAAATGTTTAGTTACACATATTGCCTTTGCCCTGCCCGAGTCAGAGCTGCAAGCGTGCCATCCCCCACGGTGCGCACCACATCCATTAGGTGTGAATTGGCCCACCCCTCCCACCTGCCAGCACCCGATGAATGTTACTTTCCTAAGTGCACTCAAGTGTTGATCAATTAGTACCGATGTGGTGGTGATACATGTGGTGTTGTTTTCCATTCATCCGCAAGCTTATTCTTGTTGGATTCTTGTATGCCTCTTTTCTTAGAAACATGCAAGAGGAGATTAGTAGGATAACAACAGATCCTAGCATTGCCACTGGGTCTCGAGTCACAGCAACTAGTCATCATCTCCCCTCCACACGTTCTCGATTTGCCTCTCCCTCTGTGAGCAGCTCTGCTGTCTAGGTGGCTTAGCTGGTGGGGAACCCAGGGGTCTGAAACCCTGGCCACCATACACTTCTTGGGCTGTGGCTGCTGCAGTTGTACATTTATTATCAAAATGGGCAGAGGAGTGTCAAGAAATACCCAAATAGATTACCTAGTGGGTCAAATATCTTCTTACCTGCGCCCACTGTGCAGCAGTTCTCCACCTCCATGGCATCTTTTTAGTTCTGCAAAGTCACCTCAGATCCTGTGGAAATTATCAGCACCCAGAAAACAGTAACCTTCTAATAGGGGAAGAGACCTGGAGCATCCTGAAGAGACTGAGCAACAGCATAGCTTAAGTTTAATATCTTACCATGTCCCCTGGTGAATCCCTTTTCCTTCTGGTAACTAGAGCCTCTAAATCCACAAAATCTAGATTTGAAAAAATGGTAACCCCAAATTCCTCAAATGGACCACTGGAAATGAAAGTAGTATTGCCACTATTCCCAGTTCTCAAAACCCATATATTCTTTTTATTTTTTTAATGTTGAAACAGAGTCTCACTCTGTTGTCCAGGCTAGAGTGCGTGGCAATCAACCTAGCTACATCAACCTCAAATTCCGGGCTCAAGTGATCCTCCTGCCTCAGCCTTCTGAGTAGCTGGGACTACAGGCATGCACCACCATGTCCAGCTAATTTTTTCTATATATTTATAGTTGTCCAGTTCATTTCTTTCTATTTTATTAGAGATGGGGTCTCACTCTTGCTCAGGCTGGTCTCGAACTCCTGAACTCAAACAATCCTCCGCCTTGGCCTCCCAGAGTGCTAGGATTACAGGCCTGAGCACCGTGCTGGCGTCAAACCCATGTATTCTTAGCGGTTGGTTACACAATACCATACACATTGATTTAGATGTCCTGGAGGATGGACCCCATCCTTGCAAGTATCATCTCCAAGCTGATGCTTCAGCTATACCTTCAGCAGACTGTTTCATTCACTCTGGTATTATGGCAGATTCTGGGTAGGTGATAGGACCTTGGTATCTATGGGTCATGCAACCGTGCCAAACCTCCTTTGACAGAAAGTGGACCCCTTGGTGTGGAGAGAAATCGTACGGATCCCATATAAATAGTTTAAATACTTTTAAGAACCCCAACCCACAAACAGTGACGGGTGGCTGAGATCTGCAGGCAGGAAAGGTAACCTATATGCAAAATATGTGCCGCTGATCCTATTGAAGATGAACACTGCCTTCAGGGTGCTAGGTGCCCAATGCAGTCACCTTGCACCATCTGGCTGCTGTTGGTGGTCAATAGGTGGCTCGAAGACTGGAAGGCCTTCAGAGCTGTCCCAAGATGAAGCAAAGGAATGGCCTTACATTCCTACTTTGACCAGGCTTTGGTTATGGACCTCAAGGAAGGAGTTTGAGGTGAGGAAATGCCTCTGTAGCAGGAGAAAGTTCCCAGAAAGAATTCAGACAAAAAATGTCACTTGTCACCTAAACCAATAAGAAGAAAGAAGTGCTTCAGCTGAAAAGAGTGACTTGCAGTGCTTCAAAAATACAATAACCAAAATAAAAAACCCAATTGGATGGGTTCACTACCAAAACAAGGATGGCAGAAGAAAGAAAGATTGAACTTAGAGATAGAAAATCAAAGAAACATGTACAATGAATCCGTTAATACCCACTATGACAATCACCCATCTTAAGTCTACTCAGGTTGAATATGAAAAATTAAACACCTGCCAGCACCCACGACACGGATCCTTGTACTTCTGAGACTTCTGGGTCAATCTCATTACCTTGCACTCCTTATCAATCGCTGTCTACCCTAAACCTACCTCACATCAACCTTTTCAGTCGGCCATGGCCCCATTCCCTTTCCCCCTCACACTTCCTCAACCGGTCACATTTTTTCGTTCCGGCTTTACCACATTCCGAAGAAGGACATTCACCCAAATTAACTGTGAAAGCAAAGCAGTAGCCTGAACAGCCCCTTGGATCCACAAGGGAAATACGCCGTTAGCCCATATAAGAATAATAATAAATACTTACATGCTTAATTTATCATCATGTGCACGAAACCAGGGTTCACAATACTAAGGGGAAAACGTGCA